TTGACTGATGGAGGCTTCACCTCCCTGTTATTCTAAGAGATGGGCCGGAGATGTGTGACACAGCGTGTGAGTAGCAGAAATCTGCCCACACCATGTTATTGCCAAAAATAATAAAATTTCATTTTAAATATAGATTTGTATGATGATTTAAAACAGTATGTGAATAGTATTACTTTAGATGAAGCAGTGCTTTGTTCATGAGGGGTAAAACAACAAGTTCAACCCTGACGCTACCAGGTACATACACTCAGCTTCTGGTCACTTGTTAAGGAAAGAAACTCTGTGCATGTCCTAATGCCCAACTTGGAGCTGGAACTTATGTAGCACTGAGGACTGCTCCTGTGGGCAGCAGTCTTATAGGATGGGTGCTCACCATACTTTCTGATATAGAGATAGTCAATAGAAGGAGAATCTACAAATATGCACATGAATAACAATAATTAAAATATAGAGAACTCTGACGGTTTATAAATGTGCATTACATTTACTATTGCTTTTCAGTTAACATTTTGGGAACAATCCAAAATGTGTTCTTACTGAAAAAAACACGTATATTTTCCAGTCACTTGACAAGTATTTAAGTAATTTATTTTGTTATAGATGTCTAGTTCTTAAAGCGGAGTTCCACCCAAAAGGGGAAGTTCCGCTTTAAAGATTGGTTCCCCGCTCCCCATTAAGGATTGGCACCTTTGGGGAGCTGGGGGGGGAACGGGTACCCAAATTTGACAGGTAGCCGCTCCCATTTCGCCCAGGCGATTGGAAGCGGAAGTTGTCCTCCTACCCTCCCTCCCCGAAGTCTTGTGGGACACGTGACAGGTCCCAGAAGATGACGGGGCCATTCAGGAAGCGCGGCGCTACTCGCACATGCGCAGTGGGCATCCGTCTGTGAAGCTGCAAGCTGTCACAGCCGGGTGCCCACACTGAAGATGCCGGCGCCTGGAATACAGGACGGCCAGTGAAACAGGCTGCGGCGGGGGCAACGCGGGATCGTGGGACAGGTATGTGGCTGTTTTTTAAAAGTCAGCAGCTAACAGTTTTTGTAGCTGCTGACTTTTATTTTTTTACAAAGTGAGTGAAACTCTGCTTTAAGGAAGTTTCCAGGCTGGTTTACAGAAGACTGGTTTTCCCTGCAAGCGGAAACATGCTAAAGGAAAAAGCACAAAGTGGGTTTAGATTATTATAGAATGTTTTTGTGCATTTGAATGTGTTTAAGTGTACTTCCTGGCAAAGCATTGGATCAAAATTGCATGGAACAGTGTCTGAAGTGCAGTAGAATGTGTTGTAAAAGCAACATGTGTGCTGCACCACTTCTGACCAGTTTTTGGACTACATTGGACAAGAGCAAATGTACTCTATAAAATGCTCATCTGAATGCGCTGATGATGTTTTGATTGTAGAGCTTACCATTGTGAAAAACTCTGTTCTTAATGGGATTTTTAGTAGGAGAAAGTGGGTGAACATTTTGTAATGGTACGTAAAGTTAAACTTCAAATTAAAGTTAAGTCCAAGCATATATAAAATATATCTCTGTATTCATTAATACACCCTTAAATGTGTGTATGTGTTTTTTTGTCTTGGAAATGTTGGCTGAAGCCAACTCATATAGAATGAGTCACCGCTAAGCATCTCTGTTTCTCCCAAAGCCTGATACACATGGGCTGAGTATCTGCAGGTATCAGCCAATTCAACAGAAACCGGCTGACATTCAGCCCGTGTGTACAGCAACCTGTCTGACAGAAGCCGACCAAACATCCGGCTTCTGTCAAAAGGGCATGCTGGAAAAACATCTGCTGATGGCTGTGAGCGCTGATCAGTGTGTTCTGGTGGGGGGTAGTCCCCCTGTCAGAACACAGTAGCTCAATGGGGAGATTGCTTTCCAAACATTTCATAGTTAGTACAGAGACCTCCTCACCAGCTCCTCATTTTTTTTTTTTTGTGTACCGGGCTTTAGAGATATATAATATCTATAATATAATACAGTACCATGTATAGTGAAAGGAAATGGCAGAAGAAACAGTTGAAAAGAGGCTGCAGAAAGAATGCATCCCCAGCATTTTTAGCTGTTCCAATGCCAGCTGACCCCTGCCATCCAGTGAGACAGGCACAGATGGTGGTATTCCTGGGATGTCTTCTTTGATATAATACTGCATAATCAGAGACCAGATCCTATGGATTTGTCTGTAGATATCATTTTGAAAGCAGAAGGAAATCTGAACTGATTGACAGTTCTTAAAGGACAAGATGAGAAAACATTTAAAATTTTCAAACTTACATTGTTTGCAAGTACACATCTTTGATTGATTTGTATTTTTAAGTTTACAAGTTAACTAAGTAAACTAATTTTTGTGCTTTTTGTTTTTCTAATTTCATCCAATTGTGCTTCATAATTAAACATTAAACATGTGACAAAAATCCCAGAGCATTATGGGTTACCTTAAAAGAGAGCCCAGAACAGTAGTCACCTCCTTTTAGGCATACTGGCTCTCAGAAATCTTGAATCTGTCTCTTAAAATATAATATGTTGCAGCTTATCAATTCTTAGCTGTGGCAGCTGTATTTGTTTCCTTTTTAGTTTTTTTTCTTTATTTTCATCTGGCGATCCAGGCAGTAAGTCTGTTATTTTTATCTTCCTTTAACAGCTAAAGTGGTAGTTAGAGTGTTGAGACAAACAATTTAACACTGACATGGGTGCTTACAATAGCTATTTTTTAATTCATTTATCCTTTATCCCAACAGCAAAAAATTTTAATGTCACGGTAATTGCTCATAAACTGATAGAGGCCTGGTGCTCGCTTTAATTCTTTAAGTCCATTTAAATTTGCTAGTGTATCTAACACTACCTTCTCTATAGATAGACAGTGCTGCTGTCCAGTTATTGTCTGGATCACCAAGTGAAAATAAAGGAAAAAAGTCTAAAAAAGAAAACTACCGTAGTCACCAAATTTACGGATTGGCAAGCTGCAATAAATTACATTTGGTTTTTTGGGTATAATACAGCTTTGATAGACGAGTCACTGCTAAGGGGCTCTGTTATCCCTTAAGTGATGTAATATAATACAGTGCCATCTATAGTGAATATCAAAATAAACAGTTGGAGAGAGGCTGCAGAAAGAATGCATCCCCAGCATCCTTAGCTGTTCTTAGGTCAACCATTGACACACAGTTAGACAGGCACAGATGATGGGATTCCTGGGATGCCTTCTTTGTTATAATACTGCATAAATAGAGCCCAGAGCCTAGGGATTTGCCTGTAGATATCAAAAAGAAAGCAGAAGGAAATTTTAACTGCAAGAATACTTTATGACAGTTCTCCAAGGACAAAATGAAAAAGGGAAAAAGCTCAGTTTTCAAACTTCGAGCATCATTTGCAAGTGCAATTGTCTTTCTCTGATTTTTTTCATTTTACAAAAAAACATTTAACATGTGGCAAAAAAAAAAAAAAAAAATCCCTGAGAACTATGGGTTATCTAAACAAAGAATGCAAACCACCTCCTTTCAGGCAGACTGACCCTTGGAAAACTCGGTCAAAGCTGTCTCATAAGGGATGAGTCACCACTATCCTGACTCCGTCTCCTCTGTGTAAATTTCAGATTCAGCAACTAAACTATGTAACAATAAGCTGTAACAGCAGGAGTTCAAGTGGTTGTAAACCTCTGACATAAAAAATGAACAGAGCATATACCTCTGTAGTACTCGCCTCAATCCAAAGCACCAAGTGTGATTTCTGTCTCCTCTCCTATATCCTATCCCATGCTGTGCATATTTCCTTTAGAGACTGTGTAGATGGGAGTGTCCTTTCCCTTCACTCAGATCTCAGATTATACACAGCTCCTTACTCTATGCAGAGTGATGTCAGATGCCCACCCCCTGCCTGCTGGAGCTGAGAAAAAGCCCATTTGATTTGTGTGTTTTAGAAGGCTTTAGAGGACAGTGTACTAAAGATAAACAGGTACAACTTTATGTAGGAGGATTTGTTTAATCTCTGTATATCACCTGAGGATAGTAACTTCAGTGGGTATATGTAAGGATTTACAACCACTTTAAAGTGATTGTAAAGGTTATTTTTAAAATGTATTTATTTAAATAATAAATATGTTGTACTTACCTGTTCTGTGCAATGGTTGTGCACAGAGCAGCCTTGAACCTCCTTTTCTGGGGTCTCTCTGCAGGGACTTTGAGCTGCTCCTTGTCGGGTTGCATGTATCTAATGACACACGTAGCGCAGTTTGGCCCCGCCCTTGCTCCCTCCTCACATGTTTTGATTTACAGTAGCAGGAGCCAATGGCTTACATTGTGAGGAGTGAGAGTTGCGCTGCTGATCTTGGGCACATTGCTAGATCAGATTGAACTCAGGTCAGTATGGGGGGGTTGGGGGCTGAACAGGAAAGTTTTTCTCACTTAAATGCAGAGAATGTTTTAAAGTGGTTGTAAACCCTTACATATACCTAATGACGTGACTGGCCTCAGGTGATACACACAGAATAATTAAATCCTCCTACATAAATTGTACCTGTTTATCTCTAGCATTCTGTCCCCTATATCCATTCAAAGTGCAGAATTTACACTCTTTCAGCTCAGAAAAGCAGGGAATGGAGAGCTGATGTTACATCAGTGAGGAGAGCTTTGAGAGATGATTGGACACACCCCCTTTCACACAGCTCACAGGAACATAGCTGAGGCTGTAAATCACAGACTGTGCACTCCCTTGTCACCATTTTTCTCTTGGTGTCAGGAAAACACATCAGAAGTGATTGATTATAGCAGAGGAATGAAGCAGGAGACAGAAATGACACTTAGTGCTGTGGCTTGAGACAGGTACATACTACAGAGGGATATGCTTTGTTCATATTTCAAGTCAGAGTTTTACAACCACTTAACTGCCTTCCACCCGCCATATAAGGAAATGAGGGGTGCAAGGTGGTTCTCTCGTTCTGGGAGGACATCATATGATGTCCTCCCACTCTAACCATGCATGCGCACCACCGGGGCGCACAGTGCGGCGATTGGTGGTGGACTGTTTCCCTGAGACACAGCGGATCACCAATCAATGGAAAGAGCCGATGACGTTGGCTCTGTCATGTGATCAGCTGTGTCCAATCACAGCTGATTGCATGTAAATAAGGAAATGCCAGTTATTGGCATTCCTCTCCTCATGAGCTGTTATGCTGACAGCTTGTGAGGAGAGTCGGTAATCGGCATTACTCAGAGGGGACATCTACACTGATCATCAGGGCAAGGATGATCAGTGTGCCCTGATGATCAGTGTAGCCCCATCAGTGCCACCTGTCAGTGCCACCTCAATGCCACATATCAGTGCCTACCACTGCACATCAATGCCACATATCAGTGCCCATCTGAGCTGTTTTTCAGTGCCACCTATCAGTGCCAGTCAGTACCGCCTATTAGTACTACAAATTAGTGCCACCTATCAGTGCCAGTCACTGCTGCTTATCAGTACCAGTCAGTGCCGCTTATCAGTGCCCGTCAGTGCCGCTGTTCAGTGCCTGTCAGTGTCACCTATCAGTGCCGCCTATCAGTGCTAGTCAGTGCTGCCTATCAGTGCCCATCACTGCAGCCTCATTAGCGCACATCAGTGAAGGAGAAAAATCACTTATTTACAAAATTTTATAACAGAAACTAAGAAAAACATTTTTTTTCAAAATTTTCTGTAGTTTTTGGTTTGTTTAGCAAAAAATAAAAAACCCAGAGGTTATTAAATACCCCCAAAAGAAAGCTCTATCTGTCTGAAAAAAATTATAAAAATTTTATATGAGTACAATGTTGCATGACTGCGCAATTATCATTCAAAGTGCAACAGCGGTGAAAGCTGAAAATTGGTCTGGGCAGGAAGGGGGTATAAGGGCCGGCTAGGCAAGTGATTAAGCAAAAAAAAAAAACCTTTAGCCTTTAGAACCACTTTAAGGAAACTAAAACAGGAGCCTACAGCTCCACCTGGTTCAAGTGGCTGGTTCAAAGCACATTATGCAGGCATGGTCAATCAGGAAACTTGCCCTGGTACCCTACGCGGTAGAGTTTTGCATCGCAATGTTTGCATATGGGGACTTGAGAAGCCACACGAACTTGTACAGCATGAGCAAGATTCACCAAAATGTAATGTGTTTTGTGCGGTTTCGTTTACAAAGATTTATGGCTCTTTCTTTTTTGAGGGAAACACTGTTACAGGACATTCCTATCTTGAAATGCTGAAGGGCTGGCTTTTCCCACAATTTATTGAAGGCTCTGAAGATTTCATTTTTCAGCAAGACAGAGCACCGCCGCATTGGCACAACCAAGTTCGTTGGTTTCTAAATGAAACATTGCCTCAATGTTGGATAGGTCGCTCAGGACCCCAAGATCTCCAGACATTACACCCTGTGACTTTTTCTTATTGGGATACGTAAAACAATGTGTTTATGTTCCACCATTACCCACTGACTTGAATGAGCTCAAAAACAGAATCACAGCTACAGTAGAAGAAGACACTCTCAGACGTGTTGGGAACGAATTCAGCTATCGTCTTGATGTTATGCGTGCAGCAGATGGGGGGCTCATAGAGCATTTATAACATGGTGAGCGAAACTTGAGGACTTACTTAATAGTTTGTAATTTGTTATGTAACTGTAAAACATTTTCATTATTCAATATAACTATTAGAAATTGGGTCATTCTTTTTGAAACACACTATATATACTATGACATAGAAGGAATATAGGCTGATAGCTACGTGGTTGCTGTACACACTTGCACTTTATAACGAGAGCGCACGCAGTGGAATTTACTTATGTTTCCACTTTACAGTTGCAGTCCTATGAAATAATGCAAAGCTTTGTAGATAAATTCAACATAGCTTTTCAGAAGTCAGAAAGAGCAATAGTACATAAAACAGTGGCAATTGGCTGCATTGTTTGTAGCAACAGCTGGAACAAACACAGGTACATAAAAGGTAGATTACAGCATGATGGGTACACTAGGTATAGATGACCTTTTGTCGGTCTTTTGTGTTTACACTTTAGTTTAGCTGGGAAAATGTTCACTTAAAAATCTGAAATTGAATATCGCAGTAGTACATTTTAGCAGTTGCAGTTGTTCATTATTCTCCTTTTTTGTTTGACAAACTATAATGCTTTATAAAAGTGAGAGGAAAGAAAAGGGTGGGAAGATACAGTATATCAACTTTGCTTGTTCCAGGTCTGTGACTCAGAGTTATTCAAAGTAGACACAATCAGGCAAAGAGTGTGTACAGAGGGAGGGTGGCAGTGGCAGCCTAGATATTTCTATGATGACAGGTGCGCTTAAAGTGGAAAACTGTCACAAGTAACATGATCAAAGATGAAGTTTGGCCTTCGCATCAGTCTTGCTCAGTTGTACAGGCTCCTCTCCTATACTGAAATTGCTCACTTTAATTTCACTGCACACTATGAGCTTCTCACAATGTTCATTAGAAGCTACAGCAAGTCAGACAGAACATTTCCTGGCTGGAGGACAACCAGCATCAACTTGCTCTTTCCTCTGCAGCTGATCAGATCCTGTCCCATCCCTGTTATTTACTGGATATCACTGGTCATGGAGGCTTAACATCACATGTGCGCATTTCCACAGCTTCCTGTTTTTGGAAGGTTGTGCACCTTGCCAGTCCCACCCACTGGTTATGATGTGCCTCCATTGCACATAGAAGCACAGAGATCCAGTAATGACATCACTGGGTCTGTTAGCAAAACATTTTTACTTAAAAATGTCACTAGCATGTTGATGGGGGGAGGGCGGCAAGGAAGGCAATATATAAGCTAATTAAACTTTAGCTTTAAAGTGGTTGTAAACCCTTATATATGTATACCCAGTAAAGTGACTGGCCTCAGGTCATACACAGAGATGAAAAAATCCTCTTATATAAGTTGTACCTGTTTATCTTCAGTCTATCAAAGTCCAGAATTTATAAGGCTTGTCTGAGAGTTCAGAAAAAGGGGGTGGATAGCTAAAGTTACACTATGCAGAGGAGAGCTTTGAGAGCTGATTGGAGGGAAGGGACACACCCCCTCCACACAGCTCACAGGAACAGAGCTGAGGCTGTCAATCTGCTGGAGACCCCTCACCTGTCACCATTTTTCTCTTGGAGTCAGGAAAACCTGTCAAAAGTTACTCATGCTGATTGCAGAGTAATGAAGCAGCACGCAGAAATGATACTTAGTGTTCCTAATTGAGACAAGTAGACACTATACAGCAGGGGTCTTGAATTAAAGTTTATGGAGGTCCCGTCAGCAAAATTTCCTTTCAGCAGAGGTCCAAACCTCATTAGCAATATAACACATCACAATCCCCTGGTACATTATGATCTTTAGCATACCTTTCACACTGTAGTCTCCTCTACATCACAGTCCCCTCTTTAAAGAAGTCCCACAGTGTCCTCTTTTCCCTTCATATCCCAGTGCCCCTTAACAAAACACAGTGTCTCCTAACACAACACAGCGCCCCTTAACATAACACAGCAGCCCATAACACACAACACAGCACCCCTAACACAACACAGCACCCCTAACACAACACAGCTCCCCTAACACAACACAGCGCCCCTAACAACACAGCAAATATATAGCAAAGACGGGATGTCTCTTTGTCGGACAGGGATGTCTCTTTGCTGGATGGGGATGTCCCTTCTTGGACTGGGGTGTCTCTTTGCTGAATTGGGATGTCTCTTTGCTGGACCCAACTGGGCAAAGAGACAGTCCAGTCCAGCAAAGAGACATTGCCGCCCAGCAAAGAGACAGCCCGCCCAGCAAAGAGACAGGCCGTCCAGCAAAGAGACAGCCCATCCAGCAAAGAGACAGCCTGTCTAGCAGAGAAAGCTCATCCAGCAAACAGACTGCCATCCAGCAAAGAGAGAGCCCCTCCAGCAAAGAGACAGCTCGTACAGCAGAGACAGCCCCATTCGCCGCCGCTACAGACCTGTCACAGTGTACCATCAGGTGAAGTAGAAAGGCCTCCGTTGTCCCTTCAGTGCAGCAGCTGGCCGAGGAGGTGTCCCTGTGCCAGTAGCGCTTCCTGCTTGTCACTGGAGCCGTCACTTCCGCTCCTGCTGTCGGCCCTGCTTTAGGCATAGCCGCACAGACCATCCAGACCATGGTTGCCGCTTACCTCCTGCTGTGCGGCCCTGTCAACTTAAGCCCAGAGGCCCTGAGGGTGAGCATCCGGGGGTGGCATTGCTGCGGTCCGGACAGGACTCTCCCTTGGTCCGGTTCTGGACAGCGGTCCGCCATTTAGTGACCACTGCTATAGAGGAATATGCTTTGTTCACATTTCATGTCTGAGGTTTACAACCACTTTAATATTCTGCAGTTGTTTGCAAAATGGACGCAGTTGGCTAACTGGGACTACAAGCGCTTGGGTTGTAAACACAAACAAAACTGTTGTAATTATTTTGCTAAAAGAGATGCAGCTTGAATTATACTAGATAAGCACTTGATTCTGTTGTCAAATTGCTCGGTAAATCCTCCTTACCCTGTGCCATCTCTAGTCAGTTGTTAAAAGGAAACTGATATGTATTTTAGCAGGTTCTCCTTTTCTGTTAAAGTAGACATAAACCCTAACTTTTAAAAATAAAATAATGTTTTCACATTTGTTGCATCTCGATGCTGCTGATCTCCTGCAGCCTCTTTGCAAATACATGCACCCCAGATATGCCTGTCTTTCTCAGAGTATTTTCTGTTCCAATGTTTGTTGAAATTCTGTCTCTGTTGGAAACCTTTGTGACAGGGGATCAATGCAGGAGCACAGATGGGATCCAGAGACAAAGTGTTGTCACCCTGTAGCAGAAAGTGCCTGGACAAGGACTTTCATGGTAGGATCACCAGGGATTAAAATAAAACAGCTGCAGGATTCAATATATTAAAAATCATTTACAAAATGACAATAATGTATTGAAGCATATATGAGATTTTAGTGGTTGAATTTACATTTACTGTAAGATTCTTTCAAGGTTTAGTGGTAGGCCATATATGTATACTAAATATGGATCGTACATCAATGGCCGGACTCCGGGGAATCGTAATAGAGCCTTGTTCCTGTCTGTGCCTCTAGCAGGTAAAGAAAATATTTTCACTATTAGCGCTGTTTACATAAATTATACATGCATTTGCAGTAATAGGTGTGAAAGCTGAAGAAATGTGTCATTAGGAGAGTCTGCATTGTTGTATTATTTAATGTCTCAGAAAGACACTTAAAGTGGAATACTTAATATCTCACATTCTGTGTGTGGGATAAAAGACGTCTGTATAGAGACTTAGCCTGAAATATCATTCTAAGATGGAGAGAGTTTTCTTAAATTATTGATACCATAGCATTCAGATCTCAATACAGTCCATGGTTTAATGTAAAATTTAAAGATAAAGCTGAACTGAGCTTAGAAAAATGAAATGTGTGTGCCCTTCCCTAGTATATACCTGATATAATGCTGTGAATCAGACTATATATACTGTAATATATACAGTATACAACAGAAGTATTTGAACACCCTGCAATT